TCTCAGCTCAAATATTATCTCCTCCACACCATCATGGAGCTAACTCTGCACTTGTCCTTTGTAACACTTATAAATATATAAAGTTGCAATTCACATGATTATTTCTAATGGCTCTCCCTCTCACTATGTACATGGTAAAGAGACCATGAATATTTAGAAAAATGCTGTAAAACAACATTTTAGCATACAGTCAGCACTCACAAATTTTTGTTGATTACTAAAAAAAAAAGTACAGAATCTAATCTACTTCAGGAGTTCAACTGTCACTTTTATATCTCGGGCCCCAACCATGCTTCTGAAATATATATGGGCAGCTCAGCTACAACATGTTTTTCTTCAATACCAATTAGCTTACAGACGATTGATAAATAAGGCAATGGTATCAATTTGATGTATTAATTGGACTGATTTGTATGTGGAGCGGAAATTGTGGAATTGCAACCTTTACCAAAAAATAAAAACAAAAAACAACAAAAACCCTTAGCTTGGCTGCTCACCAGCAGGAGTCCTTACAGATCTAAATCAACTAAAAATAAGTGTCTGCGTCTCGGATTCCCCCTCAAAAAGCATAAACATACCCCCACCCTCATGGAGCTCTCCGCTGGTATATTTCCTTCAGAGTCTCACCTAGCAGCTGACTCACTCACTCACAGCTCCACCTTAACTGCCTCGTCTCAGTGACCCCCACAAGGCAGCATGTGTCAACTGTGTATTGTATATTGTTTAATATCCTTTGCAATAGCACCCAACCATGCTAAGCCACATACCTGATCTATCCAGGTCATCTTCTAAGGGACTGATTATTGTTCTTCAGAGCGTTCTGGTTCCAAAACTGTTTAGGTTTTGCATAGTGTACTCCCAAGCCCTATTTCCCAATGGCCTTAGCATGAAATCTGCAGAACATGAGGCCATTCAAGAACACAAATGTTACAGCAGATTTCCTCATAGTTCCAAGCGCTGAGGAACATAACTCCTGACTACTTCCTCAATCAGCTTGAACACTCAAAATCTGGGCTCCTCATCTCTGTTAACAGTCCAGAACCGAATCATTAAAGTTGCTGATCTCTCTCTCTCCCTCTCCCCCCACATTCAATCATTCCACACAGGTATCAATTTTCCTTATACATGGTCTCTCACATCTTTTTCACCACCATCCACCATAACTGAAAGCTCCAGCATCTCTCATCTGAAAAAAACTTAACAATTAATAGCCTTCAAGGTAATTATACCTCTTTCCAGGCCCTCCTTATTCCAAACCAGACTCCACTAAACCGCAAGAACTATCTTCCCCCAAATGCAAATCTAATTGTGCTAGTCCTCTACCCAAAAACCTTCAACGGCCTTCCACTGTGCGTTCAGTCTCAAACCGCTGCTCCACTTTATTTCTCATTGAGCCTCCCACTCATCTTAAAATTCAGTAGAGATAAACCATACAAACTGTTGACAAAGAAACTCAGTAAATATTAGCTTTTACTCTCACAGATGACCTACTTTTACGGTCAATTCTAAGAATGTCATCTCCCTACCCTTTATTTTAAGCATCTTACGTTCCTTCTCTTTATATTATTAGAGACAAAGGTCAAATCTTGGTTGTGTCACTTACTAGCTGTGACCTTGAGCAAGTTATTTAGCTTTCTGAGCCTCAGTAAAATTAGGATAATATCCATGTCATGGGGTTGTTGAAAAGACTAAATGACATAGCATATGTAGAATGCCTGGAAGAGAAGAGACATTAATAAATGTTAGTTTTCTTAAAAAGTGTTCACTTAAAGAATGAACACAGAAATGAACTTGCCTTCTTTCTCCCAGAACTGGCAAGTAAAGAGTAGCACTCAAAGAAACTGGCTTAACAATAGAATACTATTAATAATCTCTATCCCTTGAGGTAAGTGCTTATGCCAAAAGCTTAAGATTTAGGAGAATTTTTTTCTATGCTATTAAGCAAAGAAAAGGTTATTGACATGGAACCATATTTTACTAGATGATTTAACCTAATGTTATTAAATTTACTGAGACTCAATATATTAATAAACCTTATCCATATGCAGAACTAGAAGTCAGTTCCAGTATTTAACTATTTACAAATATGTATGTGTGTTAGTTGCTTAGTCGTGTCCAAACTCTTTGTGACTCCATGGACTGTAGATCGCGAGGCTCCTCTGTCCTTGGGATTCTCCAAGCAAGAATACTGGAGTGGAAACTGAGAGCTTCAATACTTATGCATAATATAGTCCATAAAAAGTGGGTCTATGACTGATTAATGTTGATGTATGGCAGAAACCAACACAACACTGTAATTATCCTTCAATTAAAAATAAACAGAAATTTTTATATGGGCCTATCTATATACATATATCAAAAACCCACATAGAGTAAAAGATGGCTGTATCTCCATTCAAAGTATTGCCCCGATTTGATTTCTACTGCAGGCTTTCACAATATAATATTGCATAAGTTTCTTTAAAATGAGAAGGTAAAGGAAGGACAAAGACTGAGAGGTACAGAAACGGGGTACCAAAACTTCCAATTAGTCAGTTTGCTTTTTCTTCCCTCCCACTGGTATCGCCTAAATGCTTTTCCCATTTCATAGTAAAAATAAAGAATGACAGTCATTCTTATAAATAGTCTTGAGACAACTGGACCAAGAGCAAAAAAGAAGTTAGACCTCCCCACCTTAATATCCTATATAAAAATTAATTCAATGGATCAAAGACCTAAATCTAAGAGCTAACACTATAAAACTCTTAGAATAACAGAGGCATTAATTTTGGTGACCCTGGATCAGGCAATGGTTTCTTAGATATAATACCAAAATCTCAAGAAACCAAAGAAAAACAAATAAATTGGATTTCATTAACATGAAAAGCTTCTTTGCTTCAAAGTGCATCATCAAAAAAGTAAAAAGACAAAGCACGGAATGCAAGAATATATTTGCATATTATATATCTGATACATGCCCAGTATTGAGAACATATAAAGAACTATTACAACTCAACAATTAAAAAAACAAAATTAAAACAGACAAAGGATCTGAATAGACAATTCTCCAAAGAAGATACACAAAATGGCTAACACGCAAATGAAAAGATGATCAGCATCACTAGTCATTAGGGAAATGCAAACCAAAATCACAATGAGATACCATTTCATACCCATTAGGATGGTTATAATCAAGAAGACAAACAATAACAAGTTTTGGCAAGGATGAAGAGAAATTGGATCACTCACACACTGCTGGTAGAAATGTAAAATGATGCAGCCACTTTAGAAAACACTTTGGCAAGTCCTCAGAAAGTTATACATAGTGCTGCCACGTAACTCAGCCATTTCACCCCTGGGTATAGACCCAAGAGAAATGAAAACATTGTGTACAAAAACTTGTACACAGATATTCATAGCAGCAATATTCAGAATAGTGAAAAAGTGGAAACAGCTCCCAAACCCATCAACTGATAAATAAAATATGGTATAATGGAATATTATTCCTTTATGGTGGTGGTTTAGTCGCTATGTCGTGTTCGACTCTTGTGACCCCATGGGCTGTGTAGTCCACTAGGCTCCTCTGTCCACAGGATTTTCCAGACAAGAATACTGGAGTGGGTTGCCATTTCCTTCTCCAGGGGATCTTCCCTACCCAGGGATCAAACCCAGGTCTCCTGCATTGGCAGGCAGATTCTTCATCAACTGAGCTACCAGGCAAGTGTCCTCTTATTCAGCTATAAAGAGGAATAAAGAACTGAGAATTGCTATGACAAGGATGAATCTTGAAAACATGCTAACTAAAAGAAGCGATACCACATATTGTATGATTCCATTTATATGAAATGTTCAAAACAAGCAAATCCATAGAGATAAAATCAATACTGGTTGCCAGAGACTGGAGGAGACAGGCAGAGATGAGAAAGCGACTGCTGCTGGGTACAACTGTCTTTTATAGGTGATGAAAATGTACTGGAATTAGATATTGGTAATGGTTGCACTGCCCTCTGAATATAACAACAGCCACTGAATTATACACTTTGAAGGAGTGTGAATTTTATGATAAAACTGCATCTCAATTAAAGAAAAAAAAAGAATGATAGCCAAATAAAAAGTGGCACAAGCAAGGAATGAAGCAAGTATTCCCTTTTTCACCCAACATTTTCTGCATGCTTACTATGTTTCAGACCTATGCTGGTTGCTAGGAACAGAAAGATGAGTAAAACAAAGTCTCTACACTCCCCAGGCCCATTCTCCTTAGCCTACAAATGTATTTCTCGATGGTAAAACAGCTTTGAAAACTCAAAAACAACAAAGATAAGCTGCAGACAGTTCAAAAGAATGCAGATACTTACACTATAAACTCTTCTAAATTAGCCAGAATGCTTTTTTAAGAGTTTCACTAAATATGGGGAGGCAGAAGAGACATGATTCTAATATTGGTATTAACTCATTATTCCCCAATGCTGATGTCATTTTCCAAGAAGTATTATTGAAATAGCTTCATTTATTTGAAATTGTTTTCTAAATAATGTTTTTGATAAATCTTCCTTGATCATATCATATATCAGTAATATAAGAAAGTATTACTTTCTCACTGACTCCTGGGTTCTCTATTCTTGACATTAAAAACTTCATGATAAAAACAAATATACCAAGGAAAAAGATGCTTTTTAATACTTTACTACAGTATCCATATGAAAGCTTGTTTTACTATAAGAGAATAGGTAACAAGAGAATTCTCTAAACTAAGCAATCAATTCTTTTAGGCTCTTATCCCAGATTTTTATGAATCAGAGAAAATCTGATATCCTGATATGAAAGCTTCATTTCCATAGAACAACAGCTCACAAAATCAAAGAATCAAATTTAGACAGGAAACTATGTTGAATAGTCCTTTAAATAGTACAGAAAAGGGGCATGTTCTACCTAATCCAAGACATTAGATACTTCTGATACTTGTAATACACTATTTATATTAAACTCTCAAAAGATAAAACTAAAGTCTATATTACAATTACCTTATCTTTGGCTTCAGGCAGTGTGATTTCTCTAGGTTCTAAAATTGATATTTCTCGAAAAGGTGGAACACATCTGACTATATCTGGTACATAGTGTGTGTGAAACAATGGTGACATTGAGTATCTTCTTTCATCTGATAAAGGCACTATGTGGTTAACTATAGTTGGCTCTTGGTGGGGTGAATGAAAACGCTGCCGTTTACCATCAAGAGGAAGATTCTTTTCATCGCTTAATCTCCTGAAAACAAGCAACATACCTTAGTGATTAAAGATATAACTTTCTGATAACAAATAGAAAACGATTTAAAATATAGAAATAATAGATGAAAATACTGACTTTTTCAGCAAGGCCATGTTATTAGCTCTAAATGAACTGTAAAATATTCAGTCAGTATAAGAGACACCTTTAGAAAAAATAAATAATAATGCATATTTTAAAAAAACAAACATACATCAAGGTTAGTCTCTTGCATTTGAACCACCACAATATTTCATATCAGCAACAAAAACTTGGTAGGAAAAATCTCTATTTATAGAATCACTAACAATAAAAGATCCAAACTCTAACATAAGGAGGATAAGATTAAGTAAACTGAGTGCTGTACATAAAAAAGGGATCTTGGGAGTCCACCTATGTTCTGGTTTATCAGCAGGAAAGACCAAATTAAGAGTTTTTTTTTTTTTAACTATAAAAACACTAGATAACTACCTCCAACTAATAAAAATAAATGAAAAAAAAACGAAAAAAAAAAACACTAGATAACTAGTCTGAAAATGAACTATACTTATATATTTCTATATAAAGTATTATACACAATATAACAGTCTTGTATTCGTGTTAAATTCTTGGTCATGATTGATGTATTTTTAGTTATACAAGAGAGTATCTTTGTCCTTGGAGAAATGCACTGATGTGCTTTGGGATAAAGTGAAACAATATCACCAACTTTTTTTCACATGGTTCAGAAAAAAGTGGGGGTAGGGAAGGAAAGAGGAAGAATAAAACAAATTTAGCAAAACTGATGAATCTAGGAAAACTACATACAGGTGCTCACTGTACTATTTTTCAAATTTTTCTGGAACCTTAAAAATATTCAAAATAAAAAAGAGAAAACAATTTTAAAGTAATTATTTGTTGGGAAAAATGGTATTTACTTAAATGATACATTACTAAGTTGTTTAAACCACAGGAAATTATCCAATCCTTTTGTTGAACTCTAAAATTTTATGAGTCATAGCCACCTGAAGGTTTTCATTTTAATATTCTTTGGGGATTACATCAATTACTCTCTCTTTGAAAGACCAACAAAATAACTAGAATTCCTACTCACAGTAAAGGTATAAAAGTGCTAAAAACATAAGTATACATTTAACATTTTTAAATAAAATTCAGAGCTTTACACAATGAATATTTCTATTGAGAATGTCAATGTTAAGTTTAAATATATATATAATTATGAACTAACGGAATTTATTTTCATTCATGATTCACAAATGGGGCTATCAAGACAATTTCTAAAACACAAAAATTTAAATGAAGTCAATATTTTAAGCATCATTATACAGTTTTCCACCCAATTCATTACCTCTGTGTGCCTCAACTTTCTCAACAGAAAAGGGGTAACAGTACTCACCTCACAATTGTTGCGAAACTTAGTCAAACCATTATTTGCAAAGTCCTTAGAACAATATCTACTCTACACAGTGAAGGACTGATGCTGAAGCTGAAACTCCAATACTCTGGCCACCTGATGCGAAGAACCGACTCATTGGAAAAGACCCTGATGCTGGGAAAGATTGAAGGCGGGAGGAGAAGGGGATGACAGAGGATGAGATGGTTGGACGGCATCACCAACGCGATGGACATGAATTTGAGCAGGCTCCGCGAGTTGGTGATGGACAAGGAAGCCTGGCGTGCTGCAGTCCATGAGGTCACAAAGAGTTGGACACAAGTGAGCGACCGAACTCAGTGAACACAGTGAAAGGCAAAGTGTTAGTTGCTCAGTTGTGTTTGACTCTTTGCAACCTCTAGACTGTAGCTTTCCAGGCTCCTCTGTTCATGGACATCTCCAAGAAGAATACTGGAGTGGGCTGCCATTCCCTTCTCCAAGGGATCTTCCCGACCCAGAGGTGGAACCCAAGCCTCCTGCACTGCAGGCAGCCTCCTTACCAACTGAGCCACCAGGGAAGCTAAAAAGTGTAAGTCGCTCACTCGTGTCCAACTCTCTGCGACTGTCTAGTGCGTGAGGGTACTCCAGGCCAGAATATGTGAGTGGGTGGCCTTTCCCTTCTCCAGGGCATCTTCCCAACCCAGGGATCAAACCCAGGTCTCTCGCATTGCAGGCAGATTCTTTACCAATTTAGCTATCAGGGTAAAGAATAAAATAGACAGCCAGTGGGAATTTGCTCTGTGATGTAGGGAGCTCACCCATTTGTATGCCGATTGCCAATTCGTGTTGATGTATGGCCGAAACTAACACAAAAGTGAAGTGAAAGTCGCTCAGTCATGTCCGACTCTTTGCGACCCCATGGAAAGTCCATGGAATTCTCCAGGCCAGAATACTGGAATGGGTAGCCTTTCCCTTCTCCAGGGGATTTCCCCAACCCAGGGATCAAACCCAGGTCATCTGCATGGCAAGCGGCTTCTTTACCTGCTGAATCACAAAGGAAGCCCAAGAATACTGGAGTGGGGAGGCTATCCCTTCTCCAGAGGATCTTCCAGAACCAGGAATGGAACCGGGGTCTCCTGCATTGCAGGCGGATTCTTTACCAACTGAGTTATGAGCGAAGGCCATAGTGGGTGAATAGTAATTCTTATCTAGTGTTATTTCTAATTGTACATAAAAGTTATGGAATGTTTATACAGGCTTTAAAGAGCAGTATCTTTCAAGTATTGCCAAGTCTTATTTTAATAATCACCCCTAAAGTTCTATCAAAATTACCCTATGATACATCAATTTCTTTTGATCAAATTGGTTCAAGCAAATTGATTCCTGACTTCTCTATAGAAAGCTTTATGTCATATAGAAACTTTCACTATAATAATATTTATTGTGGAACCTGACCTATGTAAGATAAATTAAACATTAAACTTTAATAGAAACAAAGAGTTGTAAGCTAAATTTTGTCCTCGAAATTCACATTTAAGTCTTAACCCCTAGTACTTCAAAATGTGACTCTATTTGGACCCAGGGCCTTTAAAGAAGTAATTAAATTAAAATGGAGTTATTAATCCAATATAACTAGTATCCTCAGAAGAATAATTAAGACATAGAAAACAGAGAAGGATGACCATATTAGGAAAGAAGGCAGCCATCCAAGAGCTAAAGAGGGAGGCCTCAGGGGAAATCAAACCTGCTAACACCCTGATCTCAGACTTCTAGCCCCCAGAATTTTAAGAAAATTAATCTGTTATTTTAGTCACCCACTCTGTTGTACTGTTATGGCAGCCATAGCAAATACACAGAAACCTATCTGCTTTAGTTAAAAATTTCAATTAAAAGTAGTTATCTGAAAATAGTTACCCTTAAAATTTTTTAAATACTTAGAAGTTTTAAAATTCTGTTACAGGACAGACTGCACAGACCCCAGAAAACAAAATGTAGGTTAGTGTCCATTTAACTTAATACAAGATACATTGTTAAACAGTTCCCAAAACTGCAATTTTTTCTTTTAAAATAAGTAAGAAATACTTACTTCCTTCCTCGAAATAACGGGGAAGCTGAGGTCTGTACTGGACTGACATTCCCATACGTCAACTGCTGCAGTGACACAGCTCTAGACAAGCTACCGAAAACAAAGAAAGAACATGATGACATCTCTAACTCCAAACGTTTCATATAAAAAGGATCTGTGTCAAGTAAAAACTGAAACTTACAAATGATATGGGCTAAAATAACACTGCACTTACTCTGCATTGTGAAAGCTGAATTGTGCATCTATAAGTTGCTGGTGTGAATAAAGACTTGGTGACAGGGCGAAGAAGTTATTATGTTGTTGATGGTTTGGAGTGAAAGGCGGGCGACCCAAAATTGAGTTTGGGAACATGCTCTTGTTCACTAAAAGAGAACATGTATTCTTCTACCTAGAATAGTTTTAAAGACAAATTATTATTAAGACAGTGAACTTTTTGATAACCAGTATCTACTATTTAATAAAGTTACCAAGTTACAAATTTCATTTACAAATTCATTTTCTCAAATAGATCTAAGTCACAAAATACATAACAAAATACTTACTAATGATGAATTTTAAATCTAGATTAACCATATTATTCAAATGACACTAAAATCTATGTAAATTTCTAATTTTATGACAAATTACTCTAATAAATTTATCAACAACTCTCCTATAAATCAAGTTAACACCATTATACTTTGATAATAAAAAGAAATCATCCAAGAGATGTATTTAATGAAATCTACAATTTCTTACATTGATTCCCATTTTAATTTATTCAAAAGTATAAGCCTTCATATGACAACCCAAGTCCCAGGATTTAGAGCTTACAGATCTGATCAAACAAGGGATGGAATTTTATTACCTAATAACTATTTATAAAGTTCTGAGAGTACCCCTCAAATTCTAAACAACTTATGAAAACTACCAATAAAAGAGTTTGTTCCGCAGGAATGGGGAAAACCTATGTAAAAAACAATCAGAATCGTTCACTGCCCCAGCCAGGAGACTAGATAGTTATTCTTTGCAATGACTGACCCCAAAAGGCTGTAAATTCACGGAGAAGAGTGGGATAAAAAACAAACTGAAAACAAATACTAAGTAAAGTCTACAAAGTAAAAATAGCATTCCCAGCTTCTATTCCCAATTCAGGCAATTAAAAAATTCACCTATGAAATAATGGAAAGATAAATCATATAATATAGTAACAAAAGAAGATGTAGCATAGAAGCAGTTGCTCACCAAGAAAGTGTTAAGCTTGCTAGAAACCTACAATGACGTCTACTACGGAACTGCCTACCTATGTACACAGAAGCTTCCAATTTAGATTTCTAGAAAGATGACATTCATGGATCATCAGAAGTTAAAAATTTTTTAAAGGCTTAGTAATAAATAGAAACAACACTTGGAACAAATGAAAGATGAGGGGGAAAAAAGCTCATTAATTTCATAATTAATGAAAAACACCACTGTATATGTAAAACAAGAATGTGTTGTTTAAAAGCAGAAAGGGCTCTCGGAAAGTACAAAATTAAAAGCAGAAATATCCAACAGAAAGCTAAAAGAACACTGAGGAATGAACAAAAAAGAAAAACTGGTAAGGGCAGACAGTAGGCAAGACAGCAAGAGAAAAAGTATAAGTGAACCAAAGCAGGTGGTCCAAAATCCAATACAACTTAAGTTCCAGAAAGAACAGAAAACAGAGAAAAGGAAATTACCAAGTAAATAAAACAAGAACATGTTCAGAACTGAAGAACACCAAGCCTTAGGCTGAAAGGATCCAATGAGTAAAAAGCACAAAATGCACACACACACACACACACGTCTATATACACACATATATAAATGCATATTACAGTGAAATTTCAGAATACCAGGTAAAAGAAGCTTCTAAGTATTACAGAGAAAGAAAATGTTATAAACAAAGGGATGGGGTGAAAAAGTAACAAGGTCCTACCGTAAAGCACAGGGCGGGAACTATATTCAATATTCTGAGATAAATCATAATGTAGAAGAATGTAAAAAAGAGAATGTATATATATAACAATAACTTTGCTGTATAGCAGAAATTAACACAACAGTGTAAGTCAACTATACAATTTTAAAAAAAAGGAAGAAACACACAAAGGGATGGTAATCAAAATGGCTTTGGACCACAACAGCAACAGTGGAAACAAGACAAAGAAGTGAATGCCTTCAAGGTTTCTGTAGAAAATGTTTTCAAGCTATAATTCTATACCCAGTTATGTTACCAGTACAAAAGGAGAATAAAAACCCTTTCAAGACATGTAAGGTATTGAAAAAAGTAAAAGAAAATCTGGGATCTAGGAAAAGGGAGTTCTCACACAGGTCTGAGACAGTAAATTCCACAGGATGGTGGTGAAGGGAAGCTAAACAGCTTAAAATAGAACATGTAAATAGAGGGCTACAAGAAGAATCCTAGGTGGGAAAAAAATGAACTGGTAGATTACCTTACATATTTGACCAGAGAGGAGTCTGGCCAACAGAGCAGAAAAAATTAATTGTAGGAACAGAAAAGTAGCAAGTTGGGGCTTCTTGGTGGCTCAGTGGTTTAGAATCCACTTTGCAATCAATGCAAGGGACATCAGTTCAATCCCTGGCCTTGGAAGATCCCACATGTCTCGGAGCGACTAAGCCTATGCGCCACAATTACTGAGCCTACCCACTGTAACTTCTGAAGCCAGTGCACTTAGAGCCGTGCTCTGCAACGAGAAGCCACTGCAATGAGAAGCCCGCGTACAAAAATAAAGAGCAGCTCCCACTCTCAGCGTCCAGAAAAAGCCTGTGCACAGCATTGAAGACCTACCACAGTCAATAAATAAACAAATAAAGCCTTAAAAAGAAATGCAAGAAGTTAAAAATAAATTACTAAAACTACAGACAAAACACATTCAAAAGGTCAGATAAAAAGAAAATACAGTCAGTTACCTACTTAGTTCTTACAATAACATCAACATTTAACATATATTGATTTAAACAGAAACTGTAACATGTATGCATGTGAAGTTGCTTCAGTCGTGTCCAACTCTTTGAGACCCTACGGACTGCAGCCCACCAGGCTCCTCTGTCCATGCAATTCTTCAGGCAAGAATACTGAAGTGGGTTGCCATGCCCTCCTCCAAGGGATCTTCCAAACCCAGGGATCGAACCCACATCTCTTATATAAGTCTCCTGCATTGGCAGGCAGGTTCTTTACCACTAGTACCACCTGAGAAGCCCAAAATTATAATATATTTATATACTACTTAAAACATTGTATTTATTTATAATTACATACATTATTATACTATATTTTACATATTATTTACATGTTTATATACATCACAATTTATGATGAGAAAGGGTACATTAAAGTGCTAAATTCTCATTTTCAATAGATGTCAATCTAAAAAACAAGTTATAAAAAGTTGTGGGTTTTTTTTTTAGAACAACAGAGGAAGATAATATACACACTGCTAAAAGAAATAGTAATTGCCTCTGGGGATTGAGACCAAATGGCTTGAAAAACTAGAATAGGAGACAACAGGAGTTGGGGGGGGGGAGAGAAAGATCTTGGAAGAAACAAGTAAACCACTCACAGAAACTTTATTCCTTTTCCAATTCTGAAAGATTAAAATTTCCTAGGCTGGCCACAGAGAGTGAGACTTACCAGTTCAAAGTTCATACGAGATTGTGGACAAGAGCCACCATCAGATTCCATACCAGCTGCCTGACTACCATGCACCAGAGACAAGGTGCCACCTCCAGAAAACAAGAGTTTGCCAGCTTTCTTCAGAAGGCCTTTTTCTAGCTATAGGAGATTGATTTTTTTTTTTAAATTCCTATCATGTTTGCTAAACTATACTCTGATGTTTGCTGCTGCTGCTAAGTCGCTTCAGTCGTGTCCAACTCTGTGCAACCCCATAGACGGCAGCCCACCAGGCTCCTCTGTCCCAGGGATTGTCCAGGCAAGAACACTGGAGTGGGTTGCCATTTCCTTCTCCAGTGCATGAAAGTGAAAAGTGAAAGTGAAGTCGCTCAGTCATGTCCAACTCTGTGACCCCATGGACTGCAGCCTACCAGGCTCCTTCGTCCCTGGGATTTTCCAGGGAAGAGTACTGGAGTGGGTTTTCATTTCCTTCTCCAGCCTGATGTTTGCTGCTCAGAGACAATACCTTGAGCCAAGCAGGATTTCACAGCATTCTTTATTAAAAGTACTCTCAATATGACAACAGAACGCCAGATCTAAGGCTGCCACTAAAGCCGCCTTCTCCCTTTACTTGGGTTTACACTCTTTCTTGGCCTCCCTGACTCTGCTTCTCTGATCCAACTTACCAGACAACAATTACTATCTCATAGGATTCATGAGAAAATGACATTAAATACAATTCATTATAAAGAACTGTGCTTGATTTTACTGTAATAGACACACAATATGGATCTGATCAAACAAGAGAAGGAATTTGTGTTCAGAAAAACTAGAATTAAAATACTCTATATTCAGGTTTATTTAAACCAGTTCATAGGTACAACTCCAGACATTTTGTTTATATCTATGTTTGCATTTTTCTTATATCTATGTTTGCATTTTTCTTCATGCTTGAGACCCAAAATGACATAACAGCCCAGTTTATGGGCTTACTTCTATCCTATTATATGGTCAGATTCAAACTACAGAATAAGTCAAAAGATGTCTTGTGGCCCAGAAGTACTCTTCAAAGCTAATGACCAAATTATCCACAGCTTAAAAGCTGAGAATAATTCCATACTTAAAAACTTACTTTAGAGCAGTTATCCAAATCAGTGTATCCTAAATTCCAGATAAGCATTAAAGGTTTTGGAGCACCACCAAAGCAAAGAATCTATCAGTTCTCCTCAGGATGAATTTTGGCCTTCAAGTCCAGCTCTTATTTAGGCCAACCTTACAAGTGGGGAGAATCATTCCTAGGGAATTTAACCAACAACATTCAATGCTCTCCAATAATCATCCTGTAATCTTCTGCATAATCATCTAGAGATAAGGAAGTAAACCAAAAGCCCATGGATTTCTATTCCTTTCTACTATTTCTCTTAATATTAACAGACACGCAAAGATAGTAATATTAAGGGACACACAAAGAGTCGTCTCTGACTCTTTGCAGCCCACCCCAAGGAATGTAGCCAGCCAGGCTCCTCTGTCCATGGGATTCTCCAGGCAAGAGTACTGGAGTGGATTGCCATTCCTTTCTCTAGGGGGATCTTCCCAACCCAGGGATTGAACCTGGGTCTTCTGCATTGCAGGCAGATTCTTTCCCACCTGAGCCACAAGGAACCCCACTCCCTTAATACATTCCAACACTAATTCTGATGAAGATAAAAATGACACCAAAATAATAACCTATTATAAACAATATGGGGCTTCCCTGGTGGCTTAGATGGTAAAGTGGAAGGAAATGGCATCCCACTCCAGTACTCTTGCCTAGAAAATTCCATGGACGGAGGAGTCTGGTAGGCTACAGTCCACGGGATCACAAAGAGTCAGACACAACCAAGCAACTTCACACACACACACACAAAAACAACACAAACAATAAACAATATAAGGGATCATTTTTTAAACAAAACAGAGTTTCTGAGAATAAAATCCAGCAAAACTTCTACCACACCGGATTTAAGGGGACCTCCACAAAATTGTATTCTTATATTCTGAATAAAAGGCTTTTTCACCAAGGAGAGGAAAAAAAAATTACTCCACATTAACCACAGTACCAGGTATAAGAAATTTTATGATAAATAAAATCCAGATGTTATTGGTATCCTATTTTTCTTAGTTTGAAAGTTATCAACTTCTCAATTTGTACTTGACTATAAAATGGAATAAATTTTGAACTGCTTTAAAACTGTTGCATTGGTTCTTGCCTTAAGGAGAGATTAAAGAGACAATCTTAAGGATTACTTCTTGACTAAGGTAGCCTACTGGGAAATTATACCGGTCTATTTGTAAATAATCATACATGAGACAAAGCTGTAATGGCGTTGTATACAAACTACTAGTGACATAACCTTTGGTCCAGCAACTTACAAACTGGAATTTCTGTCCTAAACTTGACCTCTCCTCCAAAGAATTAGAGAACACTCAAAATTACATAAACTCCTTTATCAAGATTTCCTAGAAAGTGGAATCTGCCGTTACCTGTCCACTTTGTCCAAATGCCTCTGATCCCCTAAACTCACTACTCTTCTTCACAATGCAAAAAGTCCCTAAATCCTGCTCACCCTCTGTCAAACCATCCATAGGTTGTGAAAGAGACGTTCCATTTGATTAAGAATTAGATCGCATTCAAGTGCTGAAAAATAATCGAGTCACATGATTCCAAACGAACATTTCTTCAGTGCCTATTCCACACAGAGCCCGTTACAGGACATTTCCTACTATTTAAAGTAACGTTACTGTTATTGGGTATTAGTCAGTACAAGGCTGTCAATGCCATGTTAAAAGCCTTGTGGTAATGAAACATACAATAAGAGCGTATTTACAAAAGCAGCATGTTAACTGTAAGTCTGTGTAAACACACAGACTTAGTATTCACTTATGATCTTTCCGTAAAAAAACCACACACCTGCTAAGTTGCCACTTTAGCTTGAGTTTCAGTTTCTTTTTTGTTCCCCTTATTGGTATACCAATATAAATAAACAACTGCTATTTTAGACAAAGAGGTGAGAGAGAATCAAACAAGGCAGGGAACGTGGACGATTCAGAAGTTGGGAGCATGAACCCCTTCGTGTTCTGGCCTAGAGAGTTGAAGAGCCTATCCACAAAGGGTGAAGGGGGCAAAGACAAAACACAGGATGTAAGCAACAATCGGACAGAGTATTGACCTGTGCATTTTCTTGTAACTCGAAGAACTGAGGCAATTTCACAACCACTCAGTGAAAAGTCTTAAGTGTCAAAGTATTAATCCAGATATTTACCTTAGCTCTTCACCACCCTTTGAAACCCCATGCAGAGTCCCGAGACACTCTTCCTCGTTTGGTCCTAGACTTGAGGACGGGACGCGAGGAAGACAAATGAGTGAAGAACGTCACAGTTCCTAAGATTCTTCAGCAAGCACGGCAGTCCGGGGGCCGCCCAGACCTCTGGGATATTGAGGAGATACCGCCGGAACCTCCCACTCGAAACACTAGTTTTCTAAAAAGTTTCCGGCGCGCTGCGGCGCCCCGCCCCGCGCCCCCCCAAAAGGGCCTACACCGAGGCTTCCCTCTCTGAAACCCGCTAACTCACAAGTGTTCTCGGGAAAGGACTGCGCAGGAGGGTCGGCCAGCACCCCCAGCCCAGGAGCTCCAGGGCCGGAGGAGCGACGGCCCGACGCGCTTGGTCCTAGCTTCCTCCCGAGCCAAAGGAGGTAGTGCCCACGCGGAATGGGTAGGCCCGGCTCCGGGCTGAGCGCTAAGCCTCGGCCTCGGCAGCAGGGAGGAGCGACACAAGAAAAGGCAGGGCCGGCAAGGGTGTGGGAGATCGGGGGCGGTGGCAAGAGACGGAAGACCAAAAAGTAACCGAAGAAAAGAGGCGTAGAAAGCCCTATCGGGAAATACCCGGAAGACCGACGTGACCCGGATGGAAACAGCGATCCGGGAGCGGGAGGTCATACTTCCGGCAACGGCCTCGCTCACTCCTGCGAGCTTTTGGCTGGCATGCGCAGGCGCTCGAGCGTGCAGGCGCGCGGCTGCGGGTGTCCGGGTTGGGCGGGGGGAAGAGCGTAGCTGCGAGCGCGTTGAGGAAGGGCTGGGACTTCTTTGAGAAAGGCAGAGGGTTACCCTGAACCTCATCCCTAAGCTGACATTCTGATAAGCATTTTTTTTTTTACTGGTCCTTCCTGTCTGCACGGAGTGACTCTTCCCCGGAGGAGCTTCGTTTTCCCTCACCCTTCTTCACCGATCAAGCTTCATTTCTTTTTTTCCCGTTAATGAGTTGAGAGCTGCCTGGGGACCCTTATTTAATTTATAAAGCCTAGACTCGACTCCCTGTCCGTAGTACATAGCATTCACTAATTCAAAAAGTAGTATTTCTTCTTGAGTGAGCTTTAATAGTTGTGAAAATATAAGCTGTCGGATTTATTCGTATAAATCTGTTAACAGTATTTATTGTCCTTTTAAAATACTTAGGACCTCGTTCCTGAAATTAGTGATTTGTGTCTTTTTTGTTTTTCCTGATCGATCTGGCAGGAGGCATGTTAACCTCACTGATTTCAAATCTCAAAGTCAGCTTTTGGTTTCATAGGTTTTCTCCGTTTTACTTTTTCATTGATTTCTGCTGTTACGTTTATTTCCTTTCTTTTTTGTTGTTGTTTTTAAAATTATTTGCCAGTTTCTTGGAAACTGAAGTAATTGATTTGAGACATTTCTTCCTTTGTAATACAGAAATTCAGTAGTACAAGTTTCCGTCAAAATACTTTGTTAGCTGCATCCCACACATTTTAATATGTTGTGTTTTCATTTTACTTCATTTCAGAATGCTTTCTAATTTCCCTATTAGTTTTTTCTTTGATCCTTTGGTTATTTGTATGTTCTTTAGTCTCCAAGTATCAGATTTTCTAGAATATCTGTTATTGATTTCTAATTTAATCCCATTATCATCAGAGAATTTACTTCATATAATTTAAATCATTTAAAATTTATTGAAACTTGTCTTGTGGCCCACAGTATGGTTGGTTTGTCTTGGTAAGTGCTCTGTGTACGTTTAAAATAGAAGTTTATTCTGTAGCTGTTGGATGAAATGTTCTACAAATGTCAGTCACACCAACTTGCCTGATACTAGGCTTCCAAGGTGGCGCTAGCTGTAAAGAACCTACCTGCTGATGCAGGAAGCGTTAAGAGATCAGGGTTTGATTTCTGGGTCAGGAAGGTACCCTGGAGGAGGGCATGGAAACCCACTCCAGTACTCTTGCTTGAAGAGACCCGTGGACAGAGGAGTCTGGCGGGCTACAGTCCATAGGGTCGAACAGTCGGATACGACTGAAGCTGCTTAGTAAGTCCACATGTTTAAATCTAAATCCTGGGGTGGGGGTGGAGCAGGGGTTTTAGAACATACTGATTTTCTGTCTACTGATTTTATTACTTATTAAGAGAGGAGCACTGAAATCCTTGACTGTAATTACGGATTTTTCTAGTTCTCCTTGCTGTTCTGTTAGTTTTTACTTTATGTGTTGTGAAGCTCTGCTAACAGTTACATAAACATTTAGAATTTTTCTATTATTTAGGTGAATTTACCTTTAATGAAATTAATATGAAAATTACCCTGTCATTATTAAATGATTTCACTTTATAAATCACCCTGTTTTTTCTCGGTAATATTCTTTGCTCTAGTTATACTCTATCTGATGGTAATATAGTCACTACAGCTTTTTTATAGCGTTAACATGATTTAAGAGTAAATATAATTCACATTCTACAAAAGTCTTACAGGAAAGGAGGTAAATACTGAAGGAGGTAAATACTTCCCAGCTTATTCTATAAGGATAGCATTATTCTGGTACCGAAACTCAAGATGTTTCAAGATTTTGCAAGAAAAGAAAACCACAGGCCAATAGCCTTATGAACATAGATGCAACAATTCTTAACAGAATTCTACCTATTTTTGTTCCACAATATTTAAAAAGGACAGTACATTATGTCCAGATGAAGGCTTATCACAAGAATGCAAGGCTAAATTAACGTGGAAAATCAAACAATATAATGCAGCATTAGCTAAGACTAAGAAGAACTACATGATCATTTCAATAAATGCAAGAATAGCATTGGAAAAACACAATATCCATTCTTAGGAATACAAGAGAATACATACAACTTGATGGAAAGCATCTGTAAAAAGTAGTTCTTCATGGGAAAGAACTGTTTTCTTCCTAACATCAGAAAAAGGCAAGAATATCTGCACTCACCACCTCTTCAACACTGTACTGAGGAATTTCCAGCCTATGCAATAAGGTGAGAAGAGATAAAAAGCATCCAAATCTTAAAGGAAGGAGTAAAACTGGTTTTATAAACAGTCATTATCTACTGACATTATATACAGTTTTATATACTGACATTATATACAGTCAAAATTCTATAGAATCTACAAGAAGCTACTGGAACACAAATGAGATCAGCAAGATTGCATTATATAAAAATCAATGTACAAAAGTAAACTGATTTTATTATACTAGCAACAAACAATCTGAAATTGAAATGAAAAATACCAATGCTTATGGATGAGTTTGATAAATATACATTTATTTATACAAATCGTACACTAAAAACTACAAAATACACAGAAATTTAAGAAGACACATAAAAAGATACCACGTTCATGGGTTAGAAGACTCAATACAGTAAAAGTGTCAATTTCTCCTCAAGTTGATCTATAGTTTCAATGCAACCCAAATCAAAATCCCCAGAGGATCTCATAAGTAATTGACAAAATGATTCTAAAATGTATATGAAAATTCAAAAGAGCTAGAATAACTGAAAAAACTTTAAAAGAAAAGAACGAAATTGTAAAATTTATACTACCTGATTTCAATGTTTGTTTTAAAGCTACATTAACCCAAACAGTATAGCATTGGTATAAAGGAGACAAACAGGTCAATGAAACTAAACAGTAAGTTTTTTAAAAGTCACATATATCTGTATGGCCAAATGATTCTCAACAAAGTCCAAGGAAAATTCAGTGGTGAAAAGAAAGACTCTTCCGCTAATGATGCTGGAACATTTGGATATCCATACGTAATATAAATAAGTAAATTTCCTATGACTGATTCAGATTAATGTTTGGCAGAAACCAACACAATCCTGTGAAGCAATTATCTTTCAATTTAAAAACACACAAAAAAAATGAGTAAATTTAATACTGTATGTGAAAGCATGAAATGGATTATAGATATAAACTTAAAACTTTTTTTTCTTTTTTTTTTAAATTTAAAACTTTTGAAAGAAAGCAAGAAAAAATATTTGAGATCTTAGGCTAGACAAAGATTTCTTCAGTATGATGCCTAAAGCGCTATCCTTAAAAGAAAAAAATGATGAACTTCATCAAAATTAAGTAGTTCTTTTCAAGACACTTAAGAAAATGAAAAGACTAGGCAAAAACAAAAATGCACTCAAGCCCCCAGCTTTGGGGCAGAGTCAGGGAAGAAAGACAGCAGAAAGGGATTTAGGGTGTTTTGATGATGTGGGTTTTGTGATTGTTACTGCTTCCTAAGTGCCTCAATAGGAAAGAATCCGCCTGCCAATGCAGGAGTTCAATCCTTGGTTTGGGAATATCCCCTGGAGGAGGAAATGGCAACCCACTCCAGTATTCTTGCCTGCAAAATCCCATGGATAGAGGAGCCTGGACAGCTACAATCCATAGGGTCACAAAAAATCAGACACAACTGAACTCAACAACACAACACAATTTTATATTTGGCATGCGATTGGCATCATGAGCTACTCTGTCATGTGGGGTCATCTACAGTTTCTACTGTTGGGACCAGCCCAACAATGAACCGACCTGAGGGAGCAGTGCCACAGAAGAATAAAGAAGAGTAAGACTCAGAAATAAAGTGGGGATCAGGGGGCTGATGCCATTCTCAGGCAAAAGCCCAAACCCTAATCTTTGCGTGCCTTTTATTGTTAACTTCTACTTCCTTATTCGAGCTCTAGAGATACCTGTTCTTTACAATCTCAGATGGGGGATAAAGATATACAATGCACAGTCCTCAGTGTCAAACCTTCAGGCCTTTCACGACTTTGTTTAGCCCTTCGGCTAGTGACGCCCTTTCTCAGCAACTCCCTCAAGGCTCTGGAACAGTCACTAATGGTTTTCCATCAGTCACAATCAGTACTTCAACATCTTGTTTTCAAGATGTCTTTCCAGGATGTACTTTTTACTGCTCCCAGCCCTTTGCCTGGGGGTGATGAGAAAGTCATTTTTATTTTTCAAAGAGGCCCTGTTAATTATAGTACAGGCCTGTGCGTAGCGTATTCCCTATATTCTACGTGTGGATATGGTAATGTGGAGTAGAATAGAGAGAACGGATACAAATAGGGATGACTGTCGTATTTTGTACCTATTACATGCCATTTCCTCTGGGGCATCTTGGGGATGGAGTAGTTGAAGGAGGAAACAGACAAGAGTTGGACTCCGTCTTAGGCCAGGCTGTGAACATCAGGCTACACGGATATAAGGTTTTCACAAAAACTGGTCGGGGTCCTTGACTAAAGAGGAGACTTTGCCTTGGGCCCGCTGGTGTAATAAACTGCACTCCACTATCTGCATTGTCCTTCTGAGTGAGTTTGTTTCCCGGAAAGTGTGGCTACAACATCGTAAACAACACAGTCCATCAGTCCATGCTCTCCTGTAGCGTGTAGTTCAGAGAAGAAAAGCCTTTCCAAATTTAAAAAACAAAAATTTAATTTTAATAGTAATAACCAAGAAAAGGAAAATACATGTTTCTATAAGAGCAAATAATCAGAGGGCATGATGGTTAAGGATGTGCTTTACTCAGATCTCCTGTAGGGAACGCATACTTGACTGACAACCCCAGCTGCTGCCTCTATGGATCTGCCATCACATTTGGTAAGAATACCAGGGCAAGGGAC